TGCAGATGGGGCCTCACAAGAGCAGAGTAGAAGGGAACAATCACCTCCCTGTCCCTGCTGGTCACCCCTCTGCTGATGGAGCCCAGGATCCCATTTGCCATCCGAGCCACAAGGGCACACTGCTGGCTCATGTTAAGTTTTTCATCTATCAAGACCCCCAGGTCCTTCTCCACAGGGCTGCTCTCAAGGACCGCTCCTTCCAGTCTGTAGGGATGCCTGGGATTCCTCTGGCCCGAGTGCAAAACTCTGCACTTTGCCGTGTTGAACCTCATCAGGTTCACCCAGACCCACGTTTCCAGCCTCTCGAGGTCCCTCTGAATGGCATTCTTTCCTTCAACTGTATCGACTGCACCACTCAGCTTGGTGTCGTCAGCAAACTTGCTGAGGGTGCACTCGATTCCATCACTGATGTCATTGATAAAGATGTTAAAGAGGACTGGTCCCAAGACAGACCCCTGGGGGACGCCGCTCGTTACCAGCCTCCACCTGGACATGGAGCCATTGATGACCACCCTCTGTCTGCGGCCTTTCAACCAGTTTCCTATCCATCGAGTGGTCCACCCATCAAATCCACATCCCTCCAGTTTGGAGATAAGGATGTGGTGGGGGACCATGTCAAAGGCCTTGCTCAAGTCCAGCTAAATGACATCGGTCCCTCTCTGCATGGAGGGTCAGCATCTGCTCCCAGGGAGCAGCAATGGGGTGAGAGGGGATGGGCTCAGGGTGCAATGGGGAGGATCGGGTTGGAGCCTGGGACAATCTGTGCTGGAAAGAGCGGTCAGCACTGCACAGCTGCCCAGGGCAGTGGGGAGTCCCCATCCCTGGGGTGTTCAGAGACCACAGGGATGTGGCACTTGGGGACGTGGGCAGTGGGATGGGTTGAGGTTGGATTGGAGGGGGTCTCAGAGCTCTTTCCCAACTTCAGTGATCCTACAGGGCTGTTCCAACCCAAAAGAAGCTGAGGAGCAGCAGGAAGTCCTGCCTCTACAAGGAAGGAAGCCCGGAGATGACACAGGGGAGAGCTGTGCTGTGTGGCTGCAGAGGGACATCAGTGGTGCCACATCTGCTCTGCTCCACTCCGTTCCGTTCTTGCTGTTCAATGATTTTCTTTCCTTTTTTTTTTTTTTTTCTTTTTTCTTTTTTTTCCTGCCTCGTTATTTCACCACGGGGAGAAATTAAACGCTCCAGATGGTA